TGAGTCGCCCTTAATGGTTCCAAAGTTGTAAGACTGACATCGCTCCTCATTCACACACTCAAACTGACAGGAACTTTCCGAATCCACCTCTGTTTCTCTTATTAGGCTTCCGTTCAGCTTTTGTCCTGTTATTTTGTCGGCAAAGTAAACAGCCTTGAAATTTGGTCCTGAAATACGGCTTATGCCGTCCACAACGGCATAAAGAAGGAATAGTATGCAGAGATGCATGTTTAATCTTCACCGTCAGAAAATTTATGAAGAAATTTACCCACCCCTGTTTTTAAATTTCTACTTATTGCTTGACTATGCTGGCAGGTGCAAAAAAATTGCAAATCAGTTAAGAGTGGTCGCGAAAAACGTTTTGCCTGCTGAATAATTAATTTTGAAATTGATGATAGAAATTCAAAGAAGACTAGAAAATATGAAACGTAAAATAAACCAAATACAACCGAAAGCTATCTAATCTATAACAAGATGGAGATATAGGTTTCGTTAACCAGAATTTTTAATAACTGAATCTTGAAGAAGAATTGTGCCAACTCATTAAGTATTGATAGTTTTGAGGTGCCCGTGTACAAAATTTATAGCTGTTCCTTTCAGTCAGAAAAGTAAGGAAGAACAAACTGAAAGGAACTGTGGCGAGGAATTTATGCTTCTACACTACACCTTTTGCTGTTCATTACGAGAAAATACGCATTCATTTGCGTTAAAAGGCGAATAATTGCGTGAAAAGACAATCATCAGAGACAAAAAAATCTCCGTAAAGTGGTACCATCGCGCCCTTATGCGAAATTTCAATAAAAATAAAAATATAAAATGCGAATAGACGAAATACAACGGAAAGCTACCTGAGGTGGGTAAAACATGACTCAGATGAAGGTTTCGTTTTCAAGAATTTTTAATGACTGAATCTTGTAAAAGAATAGTGTCATTACTGATTAAGTATTAATAGTTTTAGGCGCTCCTTTCAAGTTTTATTTCTTTTCCTTTCAGTCAGAAAGTAATCAAGAACAAACTGAAAAGAACTGAGGCGAGAAATTTATACTTCTTCACTACTGTAGCGTTTATTTTCGACTGGGAGGTAAATTCTCATTTGGTTGGGTGATAACTTTGCTTAACTTGCTAGACCAAATGAACTATGTAGGGAAACTAAACTCGCTTGTATAGTAGGAAGGCAGAGAAACAAGACTAATTTTCTTATACCAGGGATCTATATTTAGCAACTGAACTTAGAATAACCCAGAAACATTTCGCTTGACTTGCTTACATTCGTCTTTACACTCCACTATACTCACGAGTGTAATTAGTCAATGTAAATACTCTTTGCAAAGTGTATGTAGAATCCTGGTTGTAAATCTTGATGTTGAATCGAAGTTGCAGCTTCAGAGTCTATCTCTTGGGGTTCTTACTTAACATAAATTATCACGACGAAACAAACACGCGAGTTATTTCTTTTCAAAGAAGTAGTCGGATCCACTAACGCCATTAATTCAGAGAGATGTGGAAAATTTGGAAAAAAACTGACTGCTTTAAATCAGCCAAANCCGTATCTAACGAAGAGTTCATGTGAGAAAGAAGGGATGGTTTTATGCATTGTTGTTGGCTGTTCGAGCAAAAGTGGAAAGCATAAAGACTAAGGATTTTTTCGTATAATAATTTAATAATTTTATTATTTCTATAGCGCAAAATTCATTAGATATATGATCTAACGCGCTATACCTAAGATCATTACAAATCAAGAGGAAGAACAGGAGGAACTAGAGGCTGTTGTATGGTTCGAGGCTTGCGGCTGTTGTAGATCCTCGATTTTTTGGTCGAGATTTTCTTTGAGCTTCTTAGCCGATGAGAAATCGATGTCTTTAGCCCTCGCATACGGCAATTCATTGACATATGTCGGCAAAATCCATGAGCAATTTACCTGAGTGCAAGTAAGCTTGGGGTGTCACGAAAACTCACACTCCGAAAACATGAAACCCAAAAACTAAACAGCTGTACTTAAATTTCGACCGGTAAGTTGTCATCGTTGACAAAGTCATGCATAGACTAAACAACTTGAAAAAAAAAGCTTGTTGGCTTATTCGAAAGATGTTGAGAAGACGAACACTTCTTTATGTGAATAAAGAAAACAAAGGCAGAAAAGATGGAAGTAACCTTCTCTATTGGTTGGCTTAGGTTTCTAGTTAAGTGTTGAACACGCAACCCTCAGCAGATTAAGAATGTTAGAAATATTTCTCATATCTAGCCCAATCGCCTCTCCAAGCGCCATAAGTCACTGTATATTATTGTATTTACCGTGTTGACAAACTCGAAGTATGCAACAACGAAATACAAAGTTAGAGAACTTTTCTTGATGTAGAATAAAAACGTACTAAGCTAACATATGCAAAATCCATCGTTTTTCCAAGCTTTGAGAGGTTTTAAGCCAACATTTCGTGTCTCAAAAATGAGCAAATTCAGTCTCTATCAAAAGTAATTCTACATATTCGTGTTATTCGTTTCTCCACACTCCCTCTTCCTATCCGTGATACCTTTGTCGCGCGGTAGAGGAAGTCCTGCCGTGTGACCAAGTCGTCTGGTTCTCTGACACCATCAGAATCACTCAACTCACACACGTTATCACCATCCTCATTTCGACCAAAGTTGTGTGATACACACGTGACTTCAATGAAACATTGTATTTCACAACTCATTGCTGTCTTTGCTCTCGGAGTGCTCATGACGTGATTTAGAAGAGCCTTGTTTGTAACTGGCTCTTGAAACTCCTTTGTTATGCATGGAACTATTTAAAAATCACAACACCGAACAACTACCAATTATTGA